TAAGAACAATGATGGGACTAAAAAATGATGAATGTGTTAAAATTCATTTCAAAAATTTTAAAATATTAACTGTGTTTGCCCAATACATTTTTGAAACTGCCCTCATAGCGAAAGAAATTATATCAGATAACGCACAATTATGCTACAATACAAGAGGAAAAGCCCTAAGAGAAAATAGTCGCAACCATCTTTTATTTTCAAATAAAAAGCCCACCTGTGCCGGAAGAAGATTTTTACGGTTTCTTCCAAATCATTTAAAACCCATTGGCAACTCAATCAAATTTAAAAACAAATTAAAAAATTATCTCATAGAAATCGCTCCCTACTCCATTAAAGAGGTGTTTCCCCAATTAACCTGATTTTATTTTTAGTTTCTTAGTATTATATAAATTGTAATTTTAGCTTATAACTTTATTTACTAGGTTAGGAATCTGACACTATTCAATGTACAATGTACAATTGTTGAATAAAGATATTGAAATGAAATGAAATGAAATGACATTTTGGAGGATGCATAATTCAAGCATAAAGTGAGGTGCTCAAGCACAGAGGTAGCCAGTTCTTGGAATTACAGATGGCCTCACTCTTAGCCCGCCGCCTACGTTAAGCTTCTCGTTTGTCTCGGAGAGCAACAAATGATACGTCATTTGTACTCAGTTTTCCCGTGAATACAGTCAGATTAACATTGTCATTATTTGCTTACTTTTATATTCGCCAAAACGTAAATTATAATTTTTTTATGAATAATGTGTCAAATTTAGGTAACTCTACATAATTTACGGGTTTATTTAAGGCTAGGTTTTGACTACTTATACCGCATTTTAATATTATGTTTTACTTTCAGTTAACAAAATGCTAATGTTGTACTTAATTAGACTAAAAATAATCTACGTAAAGCCCCTTTTTATGGATTTATAATTTTCCTTGAAATTGAACAGTTGATGCGTCAACATCATCAGGGCTCCTCCTCTAGGTTTTAAGAAGGATAGTAGAATTATAGATTAAACATACTTCCTTATGGAGTCTTCTTAAGGAGTTATATTTTGTATAATTGTGTACAACTTTCGTAAGGCTTTTAAAATATGAGATATTTTAAAATGCATATATTATTATAATTGCAGACCAATCTTTTTTTGCTTTAGATAAATTTGTACCTCCAGTTTCCAGTTGAATCCAAACGCATCGTTCAAACCATTGCCAGCTAAAATTATGCCTAAACATTTTCTACAGTGAAGTATTTTAATGTGAAAATTTAATTTTTTTGCAAGACTTGAACCGGGATCTTAAGAACGGCAGTTTGTCTCTTTAACAACTTAGTCAAAACATTTGATTCTTACGTTAGTATCTTCTGAATACATGTCAAAGCTATTGTGTGTATTAACATTTTTGTTCAATTTTCAAAGTTTGGTACATACATTTTTCTTCGGGAATGAAATTATGGAAAGAGCTTTATTGTGAGTTTTAAAATAAATATAAACAAGGTCATTTATTTAAGGTCCCCCTTTAAGCGGGGATTCATGTACACTAGTTGAAAACTAACTAGTCAATACTAAAACTAAACCAGCCTAATGTTATACTTTGGAAGGCTTAGTACTAAAATTGCTGTGTATTTAGAGCTATGCAATTACGTAATACGCCAACTATATCTGCAGGTAAAACTTAGGGATGGTTACAATAACCAAATAAACAATCAGTTATTTTTAAAGTATGGCAAGCTAACGCTAATCAATTTACCATTACAAACAATAATCCTTGTATAAACCGTACTCAAAGACAACCCAAAACAGTTGGCTTGTTACTATAGTGATCGCAAGTGGCTATCATGTTGCCTGGTAACACTGTGACGTCATCACGAATGAATGTTCTCTATAAAACCTCGAAGCTACATGCGCATATGTGTATCTGAATTTGTAACGCTATTTCCTAATCTTGTTTATCCAAATCATAGCCATTTCAACGTTTTTGAAAGAACAGTTTAAACCTTCGTTCTAACGAATCATACCCCCTTCATCTAACGTCAACAATTTGTAAGATACCACACATCATTAAGTAGGGAAATTATATCTTGATTCAAAATCGATCTTGATTGGAAAAGCGATCTCGATTGGAAAATCGATCTTTATGGTTTCCAATTTAAAACTCTACATTTACTGGCATCAATCTAGTCATCGATATTTTTCATACCTTTAACGTTCAAAGAATGAAAAATGTTAACTATACCTATTTTTGTTTAGCTACGCTGATAATAAATAGCTCCCGGGAACTAAGTTAGGCAAATCTACAACAAATAGACTTCGTACTTCCAAAAAATGTTGAGAACGTTATTGATTTAAAACTGATTTGTTTGAATTAAGCAAAATTGTATGGACCGTTTACTTTTTACAATATAAATGTGCTGAGAAACTGAGACAAGAATCTTTCTAGGTACATTCTCAAGATAAAAATAGCTATTTGTGTATTAAGAACGTATCGGCTGTTTACAAGCTCGTTTCTCCCACTAACACACAGATGAACTTTTTAGATGTATATAAAATGCCATTTAGGTTATGATTGCTTTGTTATGTTATTTGCTTTCCGGTTATTAAATAACGTACTGGACCCGAGGCTGTGCTTGGTGTAGAAAGTACAACGGTGAAATCAACTGATTAGCGAGCAGGAATGATCCATTTCAGCTCTAGATGGAGGTAAATGAGCTATTTTGCGTACAGCTTACAGGTATGGCAATCTGATCATATCCATGAAGTGGTAGGAATATAAATTAATTATAAGAGTCGTATCTAAAAATATCGGCAGAAATTAACATTTTAATGGCCTTAATGCATTGTACCAAAACCTAAGTAAAATATTTAATGGCAGAAGGCTTGCTAGTAAGCCTATGTAAATTTAGCAGAGATGTCTGTTTAAGCTTCTAAGTTGAAACTGTGGTCCATTACTCTGTTGGGCAACACCAAACACTGTACTCTGCTAAAACTATTTGTCTCTTAATCAAATAGATGACCACTTAGGTTAAACTCCTGCAATATATTAATTATTTACAAATGATCCTAACCTTAATTTACACCTACAATCCTGTATACATATATACCAACCTGTGATTAACCGAGTAACCTAAATGTAAATAATATGTAATTTTTCAAGTGTTTTAGGCATATTTTAAATTATTTGCTTTCTATAAAGCACAATACCCAGAAAAAATTTAAACTCATCAAGAACATCAAACAGGCAAATAATTATTTACCAGTTAAGTATTTCAAAATTGATAATTTACGTAAATTAAATAATCAAAGACTTAAATTTAAATGTCCACATAAAATCTTATCACTTTTCCATAGCAACAAAACTGATCATGACTTACAGGGCACTAAATTACATAGCTGGAAACTTCAAATTGCTAGTAAAACATTGCACCCGTTAAATTATCAATGTAGGCTACCTGAGTCTCGCTTAAAATATAACTCAGATGCATCTTTGGTTCTGGATTCAGAACAATGTCGGTAAAACCGCAGTGGCTGTGGCGATCACTGTGGGGTTAGTGTCTGCGATGGTGTTTGCGGTGAGAAGATATCTCGCTTCTCGCAACACTACGGAGGAAGCCACTGAAAGAGCGAGAGTCCAGAGGTACCTGACGTTTGATCCGGAAATCCAGGAACGAAGTAACACAATCACACGGAGATCTACTCCGGCCAAACTGAACTCACCGGCTTACAGACAATCTTTGAGAGAGGAAAGAGACTCAACCACTTCAAACCCTTCTGAAGCTTTGCCAAACAAACAAGTAAATAAAAAACATGAATAAAAACTATTGATAAGCTCTTATAAATGATTTGTTATAATTTAATTAATGTACTGGGAAAGTTAGGTGGTATTATCGGTTTCCATGAGAATGGAGAATTGGTCAGTTGAATTTTACTCTTAACAAGGATATTTTTTAATGGACTGAGTTCTAGCTAACCTGAGAAAATTGGAAAGTAAAATCTCTTTCTTAGTGGAAAAGGTTATACTCCCTCCATTCTACCCATGTCAACGTATTGACTATCTTGTGGGAATATAAGTGTAATTTTTTTTGTGTTAGCCTATAAGACATATTTTTTATTATTTATGTACTTTATGTTGTCATGAAGTACAATAATGACAACCAGAAAAGAATCCTAAACCAAGAGGAAATGATATGTTGTGTATACTTTTCTTGTCCCTAGATTCCAAAGTTGTGAGGTAAGCTGGCTGAGTTCTTTCCCTTTCCCTAAAAGCCCTGATCAGCCAAGATGGCTGATTAGGAAGACATTGTGTCTTAAAAACTTTACTTTAAACAAACTTTTTACATCAGTTACTTAAAGATATATAAACAAACTCTTCTGAAAGTGGCTTTAGTTGGAAAACCTAACAGTATTTAAATTTTTATTTCAAATAAAAAGGAGTTAAAAAACTGGAAATGTAAGTGAACAAAAGTAGGTAATCAAACTGACACATATTTGGTTAACTGTTATTTATTGAAAAATGATTAAAAAATATGTAAAAGCTTTCTAATTAATTCAGATTTTGTGATTAACAAAGAAAAGAATCAATCAGATATATTTGTGGCCATAAACTGTGACTAATATAAACAAAATTTATATGTAGAGACTTTTATTTAGTTTTACTAGTCGGTTTTCCTCCCTAAAATCAACAAGTGTTCTAATAAGTTTGTTCAGCTAATGGATTAAAAACATCAATTAAGTAAATTTGTATTCTTTCATAACATTGTTCAGTTTAATTTTAAAATAGTCTAAACAGTATAAAAAGCATTCAGTTTACCGTGCCTTATTATTACAGTATATTTTAAACATTATTTAGAATGCAGTTTTTCCTTATCAGTATATCTGGAATATATTTTGCTATCATTTTATGTCGGTGTAGTTAATTCAAACGTTAAATAGTTACTTCACTTCATACAACTAACTACGGTATATCTTTGATTATTTGTAAGGATAATAAGAGGCAGGATTTTAAATAAAATCTAACAGTTTAAAAGTCACATTATTTAATATCCTACAGTGTATCGGTGGTTTTTATGATAATAATCTAACACTATACATGGCTAAAACTCTTAATAAAATCACAATACAAAGATTCGTTACAAAATCTAATAAAAATATACACAACTAAATATTAATGATCGGTTATAAAAATAAATGTCTTTGGTATAACATCCATTGCATTCGTTAGTACTTAATTTGATAGATCAATGAAAAAAATTAAAGTAATTAAGAGAACGTTAAGATGAAGATCGAAATATAGATTTACAATTCATAATGATTAGATAAAAACCAGCAATATTTTTTATCATAATCAAGTACTGGTTTACATTCTTACATTTAAAAATATTTAATTGTAGACTGAAACATTATTAAAGAAACTAATAGTTGTACTACAAAGAATTAATGTAGAATATATTTCAGGTCTAATATTGTTAAAGAGAAATATTGAATTGAGCGAAAAACTAAATCAATACTAGGAACTCATATATTTATTTTTTAAATTTTAACCTAGTGTGAAATAGTATGACAAGTTTTGACTCAAATTCAGACTGCAAACAACACAAGCAATCACAAACTTACGCTAGTGGCAGTGTCCATGGTGATTTGATATACTTTCATTTCACCATTAATATTATCTACCCCAGTTAAAAACTGTGTCATTCTTTCAACAAGATTACGAATCGACTTGATTTAATGCTAAAGTCTTGCTACAAATTGGGAACACTGAAGTGAAATAGATTGATATTGGTTGCTTCTAAAATTTAACAAATAATTTTGAATACATTTTCAGATTTTTCTGCAATGACAAAACAAATTGAACTTTTTCTTAATCTGATGCAGCCATCTTTGACTCTACTCACATATTGTTTGATCACACCTTATTTCATGGCAACATATGTCCTTGTGATGGCATAAGGGTACTTCTGGAAACTGAACTATTTACAGTGTTCATAAGTCTATTTGGTCCTTAAGATCCAGTCTTGTAATGTTTCTTCCCACTCAGATACAGTTTGATTTAAACATTTTCTGACTAAGGTTCTAATCTGGTTCTCTTCCAGCAACCTTCGGGCAGTGCGTTGCGGATATCCTCGATATTTGCAACTTCTTCTTGCAGTTGCTGCAGTTCAGACTTGTAGCTGGATATCAGCTTCGTCTGAAACATATGTTTACGCCTTAAAACTACACTTTGGCTATAAAATAAACGCTATATAATACACTAGAAAATGCCACTATAGACAAAACGTGGTTTGAATTTCATCGAATAAAATAAGGTGAAAAAGGGGATCTAAATGCCATTAGTGTCCTGTTTCCTGATATATATTTTTTTGACGCAGGACTGTTCTCAAATTTTTCTTGTAGTGGTTTAAAGTTAGGTTGATGTAATGCTCATAAACTAATACCTTAAGCTATAAGCTAATACCTGTAAAATTAGAAAAATAATTAAACCTTTTAAATAATTTAAAAGCATAGGCATATATAGCTAAAAATGAAAAATTTAAAACACTTTTTATTATTTAAAAACTTATTAGTACTACATTACAACTTATCAATAAGAACTCATAGTGGTAAAATCTAAGCTTTGTATACCGAGTAAAAGATAACCAAAACTGTATTACCTGTTGAATCTTAGCTTCGTTAAGAGCCTCTATTTGACTATCCAAGTCCGCAGCGTAAAAGTCATTTTCCGCTTCAGCCAGTCTCCTCTCCAGCCTCTTGAGAATATCGTCGTCTAAAACAAGTAATTATAATGTTAGCTATAAAGGTTTAGCCCAGTTTTTAACCATCTTGTTTAAACAAGCCCATTGTTAAAAGTATACATATTGTGTTGAACAGCATAGTAAACATAAAATATGTCAAACTAGCCTACATAAACTAAAAAAAGGGACATTAATAAAATAATAATAATAATAATTAATAATAATAATAATGTATTATTAGTTCTGTCTTGTTTATATAAGATATGAAAGTGTTTAAATCAATGAGTTAGGGATAGCTAAAAAATATGTAAATTATTTATACAATATGTAGGACGATCAGTTTATAGACATCCAAAATGTTTTAAATAGATACTTTAAGATTTTGTTCAGATTAAATTAAATATAATGATTATATTTTGTTATAAAATTTAAAAGAAGATTTTTTTATTGATTAAGATTATTTTAATTTTTTGTATTCTTTTATATTTTACAGATGTGTTTTATATTTAAAATTTTCATATTCTGTTATTTTTTACATAATCTTTATTTAAATTTTCAGTTAGTCTCTGCAACATGTTTCTTAAATGTATTATTAAATAATTTTTAAATTCTTATTACTTAACACTTTTTAAGACTATAATTTAGTTTCTAGAAAGGACAATTAAAAATATTACAAGAAGAATGACGAAGCACCTGTACATTTATTTGTAAGCTCTATAAGTTATGAGATAATAAACATGATTACGGTTAAGATTATTGTAAATAGTTAATTAAATTGAACAAATATACTATCCATGATTTTTATAGATATTCACTCAAATTAAAAATACACTAAAAAGAAATCATTTATGAGAGAAACGGAAGACATAACTTTAAAGTAATGGGTAAAGAAGGGTAATAAGGAAAATTAATGTCCCCAGACTTCTCCTACAGTTATGAAAAATAATCCATTTTGTAACTTTTACCCAGTTAAATCTTTTGTGTAGTTCCTGTACTTCCTTTTGGAATTAAGATTTATTGTTTGAAAACTATATGCTATAAAACCTTTTAATTTGCTATTAAATATAGTTAAGGTATCACAAAAAAATAATAGTATGTAGAATTATTTTATCTGTGATTTTCTCAATTTATTTGGTTTATAAAGCATAAATAAATACCTGCTTCTAATCATATTCTATTAGAACGTTAACAAACATTTATTTTTAATTTTCTTAGAAAAAGTTCAACTGGCTTCTACTATACTCCTTATATAATGCAGCTGTAATTAGTTCAATCGATTGTAAAATTATCAGATAGGGAATAATTTTCATGAAACAAATTTATTGGGTGATTTACTGATTACCAGGAAGAAAATTGATTATAATCACTGTATGTAATAACTGGTGGCATTAACTACACTACTGCTGTATAAGGCTATCTAATTTGATATTAACTTAAAAAGTGTTTAATAATACCCAATAGAATACCTTTTTTATAATATAGGCCTACAGTTAAATCAACATGTTAAAAACAATAAAAAAAACTAGATGATAGGTAGTATAATTATCTTTGTATTAACTTAGAAAATATGTTTCCTCACTCACCAATATCACTTAGGTCATTAAGCTCCTTCATAATACTTTGTACAGCTTCCAGCGCAGATTCAACTTGTTTTGTAGCATCAGCTGCAGATGTTTTAGCTTGTCCCACTCGTGTCTTAGCCTGTAAACAGTGTATATTTTTATAATGAAGATATTTTTTTTGTGTTAAGTAAGAAAATAGATAAAATAAGTTTTCCTCTTTGAGATTTTTTATGGGACTTGACAGGCTCAGGATGGATCTTAATAATAATAATAATAATAACATTGAACTGTTTATTACAATTCAGTGTACAATGTAGCTGCTATGTTTGCATAAAAAGTCAAACCAGGGAAATTCAATAGTTTTCTACTATGTATTACGAATATTGGTATGGAGGAGTTTTAAATTATAAACTTGACCTTTTTGGATCAAGGTTAGTTGTTGTAGTTGATTCCTTGTGTTGGATAAAATGGTGAACATACAAATATCAACACTACATATGAAAAAAAGAATGTACAAATTGTGTAGGATCTTACACACAATGACAAGCTAAGAGGAAGGACATTAATGTTGTCTACTTCTCAATTTATATTAGATCTTACAGTGGTTCATCTTTCAAATGAAATTGCTCCAGTAGCAGTTCTGGGACCTTCAGGGGGGATTCTACTGGGAGACGTTCTACCCACCTAGGAGGGTTTTTAAAGCAGTTTGGTGTTTTTAAAGCCATTACTAACGTCTAGAACTGTGTCCAAAAACCTCCCTTAGGTTTTTAGGACGAGATGTATGTTAAATTATTTTCCCAGGAGTCTATCGGGGTATTTAGCCCCTGTAGCCCCTTACCCTTGGATCCACCCAACCACCACTGAAGGTACTACTCATATTGTTCATCTAATTTGTTCTTTCTAGCTGTAAAATAAACAAGATAGTTTATTGACTGCCTTACATTGTCAACCAGCTGTTGGTCAACACGAGCCTTGTTTTCTTGTTCAGCCACCAGAGCTGCTGTTATGGCCACTCTCCCAGCCAACACTTCCGCTTCATCTCTCAGATCCTTCGCTTCTGCCTTGCTCTCCTCTGCTAGAGTTTTAATCTTCTCTGCCTCCTAAAATTAATATGATTATGGTTTTTCAATGACTGCTTATTTTGTTTTAACAATATGGTGTAATGTAAAAAATTAATTGCATAATACCTAGGTTGTGTTAGTAACTAATAATTGTGTATATACAATATGTTAAGATAGTTACACAATATTTTTGCTATAAAGTACATGTTCAATTAAAGTGAGAAATGGATTTTTTTTTTTTACTTCCACCACCAATTGAAATTAGGAAACTACACCAAGGTGAAAATACTCATTAGTTTTTGCCTTTTTTATTTTGATATTTTCCAGTTTTAATTTCGACTTTTTTGTCATTTTAGCTGGACTAGGTAGCATTGCCCTCCCTAACAAGACCTCCAAATTTGTATTTCATTTAGAATATAAACATCATTGAATATCTTTATTGGTAAAAGTGTTAAAGATAAATTTTCATAAATAATGATATGTACAAATAAAAAAAAAACTCCTAATAGAACAATTATCTTGTGAACTTTTGTAAAAGAATTTAAAGTGATTGGTAAAAATAATAGTGAACATAAAACGTAAAATCTGGCAGATGAAAGGTTGAAATCCAGCTAACAAGCAATTAAAACAGAGTCGGAATAAAAGTAATAAAAATAACTGCAAAATTGTTGCAAGCATTTTTAAATGTTGTCCAATTATACTACAGACTATAGCCAAATCATTACTATATACTAATTGGTTTGTTAAAACTTTCATGAGAGAGTCCAATCTTGCAAATTATAACAAAACCGGTTGGAACGATTTATTAATATTATATCTTTGTTTGCCATAAATTAATTATTTCATTTAAAATTAAAAACATGGTGGTATACGATAGATATGCTAATGATTAGATTAGATTTTAGACGAAGGTGCCTAATTTTAAGGTGAAGATGAATAATGCATAATTTGGAATACGTATGAGTAAAGAGTGATTAGTGATGATAGGCAATGAAAGATGAGTGAATCAATAATGGATGACAAAACTAAGGATAGTTAAAAGTAAATAAAAATAATTATTAATAATGGTAGAGTAGAAGGATGAATCACATATTGTGTGTGATACCTGTGCAGTGTTGTTGGCAAACTTGAGCTGTTCTTGGGCAGTCTGTGCATGACTCCCGGCCCCAGCCAGGGCTTCTTGAGCGTTGATGGTCTTTTGTTTAGCTAGACTGATGCGTTCCTCTACGTCTGGGATCGAACTTACTGCTTCCTGCGCTTTAGACTTGCTTTTCTGCACTTGGCTATCAAACTCTGCAAACAGGTTTTTTCATGGTAAACTGAACTACAAAATCTGCATTACTTTTGAACTGTTTAAGTTTCTTTCTTTGTATTCTTTATACAAATACATGAGGAGAAGAGATCTTGTCTAAACATGTGCTTTTTGTTAACAATAAAAATGTGTCTAACTGAAAAAAAAATTTTGAAGTTAACAATCTCTTAACGAAGTAGCTAAAATGTTTTGCCATTTAGTGGTACAATATCTTCTTTTATCCAACAAATTCCTAGCACTATAAATGTCAGACTACCTTGGATTTTTTTTATGGATTAAAAAACCCAAATACAAATAGACTGTTGATTTAAATTGGTGTAAACGCTTAATAACAATCCTTGAACTGCAGGTATTTAAATTATTGTTTATAATCATTGGTAATACGGCAGGTATGACACCATAAAGAAGACCATTTATGGATACCTGGATTGGAAAGATTCCATCCTGGCTAAAGAAAAACAACTAACTATACCCTAAACACACAACATTAAGAACATTTAGCTATAACTGACATCATTTTCAACCAAGGATGGTTGAGTTGAAGGAAAATATATCTTTACATTAAATTATGACCATTGAGTTCCTGATTCCTTCCCATTTAGGCAACTGCTATCTCATCAACAATCATTAAAACATAGGTCCTAGCCCTCTGCATTGCATAATTGAAAAAAATAAAAGTATACACAGAAAACAAAAACAAAAAAAAACATGATAAACCAACTAAAAGTCAGCAAACTAACCTTGCAGAGTGCGATAGGTCTGCTGTGCCTCTTGCAAAGTCTTGTTGCCAAGATGCACAGCGTCCTCAGCCTTGGTGTGAGCTGCGTCTGCATCAGCCAACAGCTCATCAGCAAGTTGCTGCTGCTCCTCAGCCTTCCTCAGCACATCATTCCCATCTATCATCAGCTCAGAGATGTCTTCTAGCAGAGTCACATGCGATTGATACAGATTGTTGGCTTCGTCTCTGATCTTCTTTGCCTGTCAATGTGTAATTATTTTAGTACATTTGATGTCAGAATCGTTATTTGTGATGTTATTTGTTGTATTTTCCTATTTTGATACATGGTATTAGATTCAAATTTCCCCAAAGTTCAAAGTATGTTAAAACTTAGATAGATGATTTTTTATTTCAATTTCTAAATAGATTACTATCCAAACGGCATCTAACATTTTGTATTTTTTATTTATTTGTTAAATGTGCCATGCAAATTTAAAATTTATTAAAACAACGCAATTGTAAAGAATGGGAATTTGTGCGTGTGAAGAATTAATTGCAGTTTATACAAAAAAATATTAGAAATAAAAAAAAGATGATCAAAGATAACCGAGCCCCTAGTTGAAAACTTTTTGAATTGCATAACAGATTTTAAACATAAATATAAGCTAACGTTAGGATAATTAATTCACTTAAACAACTTAAAACATATCCAGAATATGTTTGGAATAAATTAAGTTTTGGATTTTGAAGGTTCTTTAATAATTAATGTAAATTAATAATTTACAATTATTGTAGTCATTAAATGTCTGTGAAAATTATTACTTGGAATATACTTGTTTAACTTACTCCTGAGCAGTGTGATTTATCCCTTTTGTCAAAAACTGAAGAAAAAACTTTCTTCATGTTGGTTTGTTATATTATTACTTAAAGAAATTACATAGGTAATGTTATTAGTCTTTGGTAAAAAAATTGACAAAAAACAAGATTGTGTCACAGTATTATTATTCTATTCTACTAATAAATATTTTTGAGCCCTCAAAAATTAAACTTCTCAGTGTGTTTCTTCATTTTAACTTTGTTGGACACATTTCAAGACAAAGCACTAGATTCGTTCTCAGGTTAAGTTGAGGCAAGTCATAAGGGTAAAAGAGGACAATGACTGGGTCAAAAGTAGAAGAGGGCAATAGTGTGGACGGCCCTTTAAATATCACGTAAGATTTAATAAATTTCTAGATACCTCAGCACCAGTGTTTATGGATTGTTCTTTGAGCTCCTGGGCGTTAGTCTCTGGTAGCATGAGGTCGTACACATCACTGTAGATGGCCCAGGTGTCGTTATATACACTGTTGACATGATTAGCTGTGTCTGCTACTTCCGCCATAGTCAGGTTCAATTTCTCCTTGGTCATTTGCAGGATTGAGTTTTGGTGTCGGATTTCGTCACTGGAAATACAAATATAGCTTAGATTCATGACTAATGTTTATTTTGAATGAGACGTTTTATACTGTAGAAGATATTGAACTTTTTACAAGTAATCATAATGAACTTTAAATAAAATATATGTAACTCCACCCTTAATTCTTGATGTAATCCTTGTTTCTTTCTTCATGGCAAAATGAAAACCTTCTTCCGAATTTAAATTTTAACAGATTAAATTGTATTCTCAAATAAGCTTACCCAAACTTAAGTTTAATGTACATCATTACACTATTAAACGATAAAACAATAATTCTATACATAAATTAAAGTACAGCTTTGATGATTTAAACTAATTAAAATAATTCTACTTAACCCAGTCAAATGTTATTCATATCTTAGCCAACATTCAATTATTCATTCAATACAACACAAAACACGCATAATACAATACGACACGTAACAATACAAAATGCTAATCTAAAAAATATTTGTTCAATTGCGTTGTTATAAAAAATATTTTGCACATTTTATTTACCAGAATTAAGTCTCCCCATGGTAAATATTGAAATACCGTAAGGTCAAAGGTTAAGTGAATGAAGAAGATGAATGCAAACTGTAATACCTGATGTTTTTCTGACGATTGATGGCGTCTTTCGCAATGTCATACGCTTGGGTTGACAGATTCACAGCAGCTTCAGCAATTTTATGGATTTCTGCCGCTCTCTCTTCTTGACTTTGAACAGAATATAACAAATTACAAATGAAAGAAACTAAGTTATAGAATAAATTATATAAAAATTTAATACACAATGGGTTCTAAGCAAAACCAAATGATGGATTTCATTTTTCACACATAAAATCTTTATCTTGTACCTTTTTGTAAATTTTATTATAATAGTTCATAGGAAATTAGAAATTATTTCAGTAACATTAAATTTGGTACTATGGTTGATTTTTTAGTTTAAAAACGATGGTATTATATGCACTCATTGTTGTTTGCAGTAAAGAAATCAACACTAACTTAAGTATCTAATATTTTGCCCATTTTAATTTTTTTTTCTAAATTAATCTGCTTTATAACCCCTTTAGAAGGGACTAAATCCTGAATATAAAATAAAATAATATAAAACATTACTGGTAGCTATAAAACATAAATACAACTATACTACCTTTAGTTGATTGATTAAAATATAAATATCACAGATATGGAAAAGTTAATTTTAGATTTCAAAGATTTAATTTAAAGCCATAGCAATCCCTTGTCAAAATATATTGCTTTGTTTATTTATGGCATTGGCATTTTTTCACATTTTTGTAAGAGACCTATTTAACGCCTGGTCTTCTTCCTAGCATAAACTGTATACAACATTAGCATAGTGCAATTAATTACAAGTTGCATCTGTCCAGAATCAAACCAATGTACTGTATTTAGATTTTACGGCAACCAACATAACACCTTGGCTACTCAGATTATCAAATTTACTTACTCCTGAGCAAGGTTCCGAGCCTCTCTAGCAATGTCTGACATTTGTTGGTTCTGTTGACCAAACAGTGCGGATCGTTCCACAGCTTTGGCCAATGCTGTTGCTCCGTCTGCCTGAAGATAGTCTAGAGCGTCCTGAATTACAGTAAAATTATGTGAGTAAAATAGATAAAATTTCAAATTTTGTTATTGGATACACAAAAAATTAAAGTGTTGTCAACCTAGATTAATTAAATTAGACATAGATATGTAAGAAAATTATGTATATTAGTAAAGTTGAGGACTCAAATGTACAGATCCTAAATAATATTTAGCTATTAAGTAAAATTTAAAATATGTCTTAAGTTTTGCTTGACAAGAATTATACATTACATTTTAAATTTATCAAATACAGTAGTTTGAAGGGAGAAGACTTTTTATTAAATTATTATTTTCTCAGATCAAAATATGAAGGAAAGCAAGTACCAAATAGAAAAAACTGAAACATTGGAATAAAGTTCATAAATTAGCAAAAAATGCCTGGATTCAAAATTGAACAGAAAAATATAAAATCAAAATTATCGCCTTTATGTTCAAGAGATTCAAAGTTTACAACTGCCTTATAGAATAGTAATTCTCTTGTCAATTGTTAAAAAAACATGACAACGTTTACAACTTTAAAAGTAAAGTTACTGGGGAGCGATCTGGTTTAGTTGTAGAGCACGGGACTTCGCTCCCATAGGTCTCGGGTTCACCTCCCAATGGATTTTTACAAGTGATCATTTCACAACCCCTAGTTCTAGCTTGAAGTAGTGTGAAGATCAATCCTGGGCTAGAGCCTTTTGCCCTAAGACAAAGAAAAGTAAGTTCCACAAAAATCTAAATTTTCAACCAACCTGTAGAACATCTTGAGCTTGCCCGATGGTGTGCTCTGCCTGAGTTGCGTTTATTTCAGCTTGTTTAGTCTCTGTGTCCGCCTGAGCTATCCAGTTGTCGGCTTGCTTGATCAACGCTTCGACATCATCCAGGCGTTTCTTAACAGCCTGTACTTCTTCCACCAGGGATTTATCTTTGTTGACTGAAATAGTTGAAGAACAGCTTAGCAGTTAGGATTTCATAAACATCAGCTCGGTGAAGTATAAAATAAATTGTTGTACGTTGTTACACTAGTAGTCTGAATATTTAATTCAATTTGAATTTTCCAGTTACAGTTTTTTAAGTGATTGATCACAAAAGTAATGTTGATAAGTTGAACACTGTGAAATGTAAAATAGCAATGGTTGAATTTTGTGTTCTAAATTGTTAAACTCAACTCATAGTACATTATTAAAGTTCAAAGACTTAATCACAAATTTCGGATTTGAACCATAACTAGAACAAAAAAGCAAGCAAAAACTATTCACGGTTTCATCTAGCAGCGCTTTAATTCAAGTTTGGGATCAACGCATATTACATTTTGAATTCGTGGATTTGCAAGTTCAAATATGATTTTAAAAAGATTTAATAAACAAATCTTGAACAAAGACTGTTTTTTTTAAGTTTGAAAAATAATTACCATTGTTAATGATGATGGTAAACTTAAGTATTATTTTCAAAAACAATATTAGATTGTTAAAAAAGAAAACAAACTATAATTCCTAGTTTTTAATATTACAATGTCACATGAGAACAAAGCAAAAATTAATAAGAACACAAAATATGTGAAATCAAAGTGATGATTTTAATGTATTTTACACATATCTCGATGTTTAAAAAATTGTTTGATAAAAAAAAATAATAATTAAACATTTCTACAAAAAATTTTATAACTTCTATAAAAAACAAACTTTTTAAACAACTACAAAACATACCGGTAAATAATATTTAGTGCAGTGGAACCTCGATAACAAGAGTTATTTTAAAATTACCAAGAATTTATTTCACCCCTGACCACATGTTATTGCAAATATCGATAAGAAGACAACCTTGATAAAAAGTCTTATTTAATAATCCCTTAGTCTTATTGAGTGAGCTATGTTATCGAGTTTCTACTCTACACATTTGCTCACTTCCAGTAGCGTCGCGAGCGTCCCTCCAAAGATCTTCCACATACTCCTGTACGACGTGGAGTTTCTTGTCGAAGTCGACATCGTCAATGACAGTCGGGTTGTCTTGGATCTCCTTGAGTACAGAGTTGAGATGTTTGAGGTTCCCTCTGTGTTTGTCGACAGCGTCCTGTACGAGATTGTAGCACGCAGGGCAGTCGACACATCCTTGCTGCCGATTGAACTTGTTCTCCTTACATCTGTCGCACCTACGACCTTCTACGTTCTCCAAACACTGTAATAACGGCATTCATTAGTCTTGTATTTAGTAAAAATAATTTACTTTTGTGATGACTTGTCAGCCACGGCATGAGGACTTGATTTCAGGAGAAGGTATCCCCCCCCCCACAAGGTAAAATGTAGGGAGATGGGGATGCAACTGGAAGTATTTTAAGGAGTAAGAGAAGTTATGTTACTATTATACTCTGTTTCCTTAGCCTACCATTCATTTACTGGTTTGATCTTGAAAAAAGTGTTTTACTTTTCATAAATGGTCCTGACTAATGATAAAACTGGTCTCGTCTTGGCCAGTAACAAAGCCATACACATCATCTCACACCATTCTACACTCATCCTTCACTCATATTTGGGTTAAAATACCCTAGGTGGGGTCCCCATCTCAACAATGATAGTTGAAAATTTAAATTAAAAGCCAAATTTTTAAATACAGCTAGGTCTAATATGGAAACAACCAAAAGTTTAGTTCTGACTTTTCTTGCAATAAAAAACTTTTGGTGAGGGTTGTTGCTGCTGATAAAAATTACTAACCATGAAAATGTATTCTCCTTTGAGATTTGCACGTTGAGAAACTGACCTTTTAATAAAAATTTTTTACATGGGCAGAAGGTATAACCGAGCTACTACAATCCACTAACAGTTTTATGATCAAAGACTGTTTGTTTAGAAAAGTTTGTTTCAAAACATAGAACTCTCAACAATATCAGGGCACTTTCTTAACAAATAGCTAGGAACACTCACCGGACACTGCCCTGAAGCATCGCACTGTAGCTGGAGGGAACCTACAAGATCACACTTGCACTCTTCACAGCCGTCGTCAGAGAAACCGTAGTGGTAAGGCTCGCAGATGTCGCACCGTTGACCCGTCACACCCGGGCGACAGTTGCACTGACCCGTTACAGCGTCACACGACTGGTTTAGGGAACCCACTGGGTCACAGTTGCAAGATTGGCAACCCTATAGACAGAGATTTAAGTAATTTCAATTAAAATTTGTAACTTTATTTTTAAGTTTTATCAGTGTTGAGAAGTTGTTAGATTTAATCTTATCTTAGACGTATATATATATTGGTAACAAAAACAAAATGCTAAAGATTCCATGAAAAGATAGAATATAATGACAAATAATAAGACTATATTAATTGTCTACATTTTATTTATACAAAAATGTTTTCAATATTCTAAGATAGATGAGAGTGCCGATTTAAAAACTAGAATAATATTGTAATATTTAAATAAATAGTTTCACTGTAATTTTTTTCTGAAATTATATTTTTTTTACATAAAAGATATAAATACTAAAATTATTTAAGTCATTGGTGCTTGTTTAGTCATCAACTTGCCTGTCCAGACACAATGTTGTAGTATCCTGCCTGACACTGGTCACAGTTTACTCCAGTCACATGAGGTTTACACTGACACTGCCCACTCAGCTGATCACATATAGGAGGTCCTGTAGAGTCAACCTCAGTACCTGGCAGGTAGCACTGACACGGCTCACAGTCACCCTTAGGTATGGCCAAGGCGTCACCGTAGTATCCTGCAATATACAATGTGAGGTTTACACTGACACTGCCCACTCAGCTGATCACATATAGGAGGTCCTGTAGAGTCAACCTCAGTACCTGGCAGGTAGCACTGACACGGCTCACAGTCACCCTTAGGTATGGCCAAGGCGTCACTGTAGTATCCTGCAATATACAATGTGAGGTTTACACTGACACTGCCCACTCAGCTGATCACATATAGGAGGTCCTGTAGAGTCAACCTCAGTACCTGGCAGGTAGCACTGACACGGCTCACAGTCACTCTTAGCACCTTAGTACCTGAGAAAATAATCTTAAAAAAATTATAAGTGGAAAGCATCAAAATGGAATTGAATTTCTTATATTCAAAATATATTTCGTCTATGTACATAATGTTGTATTGATAAATTAATAAATGTAAAAATGTTATACCTATCTTACATCAAATTTAATGTGTATTTGATGTAAAACAAACATTTTTCCTTTTTATACGATAATGTTTAAAATTTATTTTATGAAAAATATACATATTTAATGCAATGTGGGCTTGAAATATTTTATTCTTTATCCACATGAAATTGGAAACAACATAGTTTTTTCCACCAAGTGATTTAATTTTTTTTAAACGAAAACCAACATTAACAGAATTTTAATTAGACTAACAATCCTTTGACTTTGGATCCATCCGGGAACTTTTTCACTCACCAGGAAGACACTGGTCGCATTGGTCGCCCCCTGTGTTGTAGATACACTTCAGACACTGTCCGGTTGTTCTGTTACAGTTTCCTACAGCGTTCAGGTCCACATTGAGGTTACAGTCGCAAGCCTGGCACTGCCTGATGGGACCATGGCGACCCTTGGGGTCTCCGAAGTAGCCGTCACTGCAGAGGTCGCATTGGGGTCCTACAAAGTAGATATTGAGATTTTTTAAAGCAAGAAACTAAATATTTCTTTACCAGAACAATCAATTTCAGATTGTCTTTTAGTCACCTGGTAAGAAATCATAGTAAGTTAAATTTAGTTAATAATACATATTATTGTCATTCAGCTAAAGGTCAACCTTTCACATACGGTCATACAATCTTCAAAAAAGTTTGTCAATTAAATTACAAGATGTCCCACACTCACACTTCTATGTAGAATGTAGGTATATCTGGTTAGCGTTCAATTACCAATGCTAAACATAAATTAGATCAACATTTACACAAACAATAATTCAACAATCCTTAGTTAAGTTGTAGTGGGTTAGTGACTAAATTGAATGTATAGAATCAAAAACAATAAAGACAAGACAACCATTTCAAAAATATTCCTCATAATTCATTATTTTTTCACAAAAATAATGAGTTAAACTTGAAATTAACTGTAGGAACAATAAAAGCGTTGTCAAGAGCTTCAAACCATCTAAAAATAATGTTTGAGATTTGAAAACTCAAATCCTAAAACATAAAAATAATATACTGACACAAAAGTCCAACTTAAAATGTTGTATGTATTTTACTTTTTGGATAAGAGTGAGTTTGATAATGCTTTGTAAAATATAAAAATAAGGATTTGTTTAAAGATTTTGAATATAGTTTAAAATTTCATTCTACTGACCGCTGTAGCCCTTGGGGCATTCCAAACAGATGATTGTCTGATCCTCATCCTCCAGCTGTATGCAGGCTCCCTGGTTGGGACAGGGGCAAGGTTTGCAATCATCGGAAGTTCCGTCGAGAGCGTTGCCATAGAAACCTCGTCCACACTTTTCACAGTTGTCTCCTGCCGTGTTGTGCTGACAGATACAACGACCTGCGCAAAAATCAACAAGCCTTAAAATTATACAAGCCTAAATTAAAAGGAACTATACAGTAATAAATAAGGGAGTTTTTAAAAGGCAGACAGTCACTTAACCGTTATTGTAAAAGTCTAACAAAATCCACTAATATGTATTTTTTTACATTTAACCTGCATTCCAAGATTCGCAAAATAGATAAAACTAAAACTTATAATATAAAAATAAGTCAGGTAATTCTAGCAAAATAGCCAATTAATTTAACAAGCAATTATTAAGCTAATTAATTTAACAAATGATAATTATTAAGCCAACAAATATAAGATTTTTGCCTCAATTAGTTCACATGGTAAATTTACATTTTAGTTCTTGAAAAAAAATGTTTAAATTGAATTTCATAACCGTTATCAAGTAGGCTAGTGTTCAATATTCAATGAACGAAGATCTGTTCAAAATGTCCCATTATACTTTAAACTATTGTGTTTGCAGTTTAATTTCATGGTTGGTTTGCAGATTAAGTACTGTTCAATAACTAAATTAAAAAAATGTTTAACATAAATTAGGTGATTTGAATTAACGGTTTTACATTAACATAAAATCAAGTTTAATTTGATTCAATGAATATAAATGAGCCACTCTAGTTAAACATTTATTAAATACTTTTTAATAATATTAATTTGTATTTAATTCTTATTTTGCGAATTCAGAAAACTATGTTACCAGTGTCTGCGTCACAAATGTCTGCGTGGCCGTTACAGTTGCAGCTGACACAGGGGGCGAATGGTCCCCCGTTGGGGGGATCATGTCGTGATCCCGGGGCGCAGGACTCGCAGAACTGCCCCACGTAGCCAGTGGGGCAAGTACACATCTCCACCCAAGAGGCGGGGGCCCCGGCCGCACCACGACGAGCCGTGTGGAGCTTGACATCGTCCAGGAAACCAACACCTGGAGGATTTAAATTTAAAATAGTTATTTGTCAATCGATACATTCAATACACTAAAATAGAGACAATTTATTGTTTGTAAGAAAATACACACTAACAAAAATTTTGCATTTTAAAGATGGGTTAACTTACCTCCCGATTACCAATATAAAAGTGATTTTTAAATTCCTGTAGTCGCTAATCCATCTATCGATACTGAAGAATGATATTTCAACAACGTTCAATTCATATAATATAATTTGTTCAACTTGTTGAGTACTTATTATAACCAACAATATAATTAATTCTAATAATATTAGTTTATTACCACAGACTGTTGAATTATCTTTAAGCGTATAAAGTCTTCAGTGGATTTTCAAAATAAACTAGGACAAACTCCTTATTAAGTCTTAAACAACGGGCTAATGTGGAGATTACATGACATATTTTAGCTCTTCAAACCTTGTAGCTATAAGATTTATTAGTAACTAAAGATTAAATATAATAAAATAGGCAAACATAATTTATTTATATTTTTGTATATTAAATGTTTATCTGGTATTTAGGATGTAATCATATAGAACAAAAATATGCCACTTATGTAGTAGTAAAATTCCAAAATAAGTTAAGGAGCCCTTAACTTACATTTGGGTAGAGCTTTTTTCATCACAGTAAGTTACATTAGTATACGCCTGGCTCATAGTCAATGACCTTATTACCTTGAGTGGTGTACGTTCCTCGAATTTTAATAGCAGTAAGATTGGCCAGAACACTCATAAAGTCCCTGGCAGACAGCCTGGGCTGCCATCCGTAGTCAGGATCTTCATGTAGACGGAATTTGTAGCTGTTGTCCTGAAAAAAATATTAAAGTACACTTTTAGCCATCAAAATAGCTTTGGTAAACTACAAAAAATAAAGTTCAAAAAAAAGTTCAAATATTTATTTTATGGATACATATTTGAGCTAAAATTGTACAAATTACTTTAGCTCTGTTGAATTATAACTAGTATTATAGTATTATGACTTCAAACATCTTTAATTTTAGGGGCTGACACACAGTCAATATATATTTTGCAATTTGTGCAAACATATTGAACTGTGACCATACACGGTTTAATAATATTGTGCAGCGTACCGTTGAGTAAAGTTGTCAATTTTATTATTGCTTTCAATACTTGTCAGAACAGTCTTTGTTCGTAGTTTTAAAACCAGTATAGCTATACTGTACAAAGTATAGTTATAATGAGTGATGTGGTATAGCTGCAGCGTGTGTGGTATGGCATTGCTGACAAAGAAGAGGAAGAAGAAGATATGGATGAAGGAGAGGTTAAAGAAGAAGTGACTTTACACATGACCTGCTTAATTGAGCTTCGATTTAATGAGCCAAGTGGCTTTAAATAATTTCTCAGATTGGACGCAGAATCGTTTGATGACTTATTGCAGCCTCATATTAATAAAGCGACAGTTCTATGAGAGATGCCAATTCTGTAAGTCAACGTTTGTCTTCCACAGGGAATTCTTTTGAAGACCTCAAATTCACAAGTACTATTACTGCACATGCAATTAGCAAAATTGTAGTAGAAACCTATGCTTTAACACTGATTGAAGGATTATATACAGGTAAGATCAATAAACCTTTCTTTGAAATAGACAATTTATTAAGTCAAAAGTTAACAGAGCAATAATTTCTTGAAAAAGTGAACAGAGAAAGTAATTATTTTCTAAAACTACACCCCTAAAAACAATTATTTACTTTTTATATTTTTTCAATATTATTTATTTTTTTTATTTTTTTTATTTTATTCTAAGACAAAGCAATTTGATAGCTCCCCAAAATAAAAATTCCCTCTAACAAAACTTAGAACCTGAAGAAACTTTAACAAAAATTAGCCTAAGTCATTTGTATGCTAACATTGTGAATGCTGTGGAATATACAGAAGAGTCTTTGGTATTTGCTGGTAGTCTTAACAGCTACTGGAGGTTGAAAATTAGTAAGGTAGGTTGAAGTACTATGGTTTAATCCAGGTTACGCTGATCAGCATAATATTGGACTGCAGATTGTTGATTGGCATGTTGCACAAGTTGTAAGTGGTGTATTGTTAGTTGATCAAAATAGGGGACCATGGTCAAAATAGGGACTGAACCATAGGACGAAGTAGATGTACGGCTTTGTCCATTAATTTGTACGCAGTCACGGCCCAACGAACCCATCGGACCCTCAATAAAACCTTCTTTAAGGCCGTTTTAGCCAACTTTCGCAGCTGAGGTTCAATTTTTTTCAGTACTGCCCAAGCCATAGCTATCTTCTCATAATTGTCCGGTAGTGTATCAAGCAGTTTACGAACTTTTGCCAATAACTCTTCGTTTGCATTAATATTTGGCTTTTTGGAGGGCCCAGGTTTTGAGGTTGCAACTTCATGCTGAAAAATAATAGAACAACTGTACCACGTGTCACAAATGAAATACAATTTATCGTCTAAGGGTTGATTGCAAAATGATGACCAACTCAAATATCTGCCTTTCATTTTTTTTCATAAAATAGTTTTATCTTTAAACATTTTCAAGAAATTCTTTTGAAGCGGTATGTATGCATTTTCTAAAATTCTTAACCAGGTCAATATGCACTGTCCGATTGATATTTAGATGAACTTTGTAAACCGTTCTTTAAAAAAGTTTGTGTGCTATTTTACAGATACCAAAATCAGAATAGGAATGAAAATCAACTGCACAAGAGTTCAATAATCGATGGAACTTTGCAAACTGTGATGCAAACTTTGGCGCTGTCGATAGCAATCACATTGCGATTCGCAAACCACCAGGATCTGGATCGTACTGCTACAATAATTACAAACATTTTTGTGTGTGTTGTGTTGCTCGCAGTTGTCGATGCCAATAACGAGCTCATAATGGTAGACGTCAGCGTAAACTGCTTTGTTTAAAAAAGGGTGGACCTGCTACAACCTGCCAATTTGCCAACAGTGACAAACAATTGCCATTTGTTTTTGTAGGAGACGAAGCCTTTGCACCTTAATTTCCTGAAACCATTCTGCCAAACCAGTTTGATCCCATATGAAGCTGTATTTCACTATCGATTATCTCGTGCAAGGCGTAGAGTTGTAAATGTCTTCTGGATTTTGGCAAGTCAATTTGGAGTGTTTCAAAGACCAATAATGGTTGATGTTGAAAGGGTCAGCACAATCGTGTTAGCGTGTTGTTATTTGCATAGTTATTTTAGACGAAAAGCTGAAACTAGTTACATTCTTGGAGGGACAGAGATCCTACCTAGGATAAGGAGAACATTATCGAGCGTGTATGGGTTATATTGAAGACAAAAATCTGATTGTGCAATATATTGAGTGAATGCAAAAAGTTTTGAAAAATATTGCACAAACTTCAATATATTGAATCGTGTATGGGTGGTATTACGCAATATCCTTTCAATCTGCCAGTGTCTTCTTGATTTTGACTATTGAACTGAGTATGGTCGCAATTCAATAAGATTGCACAATATAATATTACACAATAAATATTGACGTGTATAGGCCCCTTTTAACACTTTGGACTAAAAATGCCCTGTAATTTTTTTACTAAAGATATATTTGTATGCTTAGCAGAAAATTTTTTATCAGTTTTTATTATCTTTTGAAATCTTCTAGTCGATGTAAACAATAGTCCATTTATTCAAATATCCATATTCATTTTGTAAAATATTAATGTTTTTCCAATTTTTTCTTGTGCATTTGAAATAAGTTACAGCATAGGTACTATCTCTTTGAATCAAAACAGACTTTTTTTAGCAAATGTCATCCTCAGAATGTTCTACCATTGATTAAATACAACAGTTTTATGCTATACTAGCTGTACCCGCGGGCTTTGCCCCGTTTAACTTCTTAAGTATTCGCATGGCTCATTCACGTCCTGGTTGAAGTTCGTTCGCTACGCTCACTCACCTTTAGGTTGGAGCTCGTTCGCTGCGCTCACTTGCCTTCAGGTTGGAAATTAGCTGTTGTCATGAATAAAAAAAAATTAATAATAGTGCTGCACCCTGTTGGTAATCCTTGTAACTTTTATGCTATTGAACATCATAGAACAGAACCAACTTGTTTAATTGAAACAGCTGTTAAGATTCATTAATTCCTTTTAAATATGAAAAACCATAAGGTTAACATGGGGAACTACAGAGCCACTGGGGCGGAGCCCGAAAGGATTTTTGGGATAATAATATGTTTTAATGTTAATCGGGAATGTGAGCTATCATCATGCCAAATTTCAGCCCAATCCGTCCAGTAGTTTATGCGTGATTGAGCAACACACACACACACAAACACACACACAAACTCACAAACTTTCAGATTTATAATATTAGTAAGATACTCGATAAAGTTCTCCCCATAATTTTGGTTACCCTGATAGTTAATATGTGATATAAGATAATAGTATACACTAGGTTTTCTATTCTATTTGGCAACATAAAATAGTTTTCATAATATTGACAGGTTGATTTTTATTCTAAAACTGGGTAAAATTCTAACATGGGAACGGAATGTATACGTGTTTATATGGGGGTGGTTTCCAATATTTTAGATAAAATACCAAATTTGTCATTGATATTTTCTCATTGTCAAAATCTTTAAATCAAATATGTTCAATAAGTAGGTTTATTCTTGTAGTCGAATAAAATCTTGAAAGTTAATACATCAAAACTGTTTACTAAGCAAATCAACTACATGCGATAAGCTATAAGATGAGCTAAAGTGTTCCTACCTCTACAGCCGGAACACGGTTCCCTTGGCCAAAGATGGTCTGTGCAATGGTCAGACCAGCGCCTTCGATCACAACATCCTCCACTGTAGGAGTTGGACTGTTCTCACCAATCCTCAGTCTGAACTCCAAGTCCTGGTTGTAACTTGCTCTCTGATCACCCAAGAACCGATCTGAAATTGACATGGATTGGTAACAGAACCAGCAAAACATTGGACAGTGTGGATTTAGTACAATTATATTGAGACTAGATTTGAAATATGGATTGGTTTCAAAACCAAATACAAGTAAGATTATTCATGTAATATGATTCGTGCAAGTTGGAAAAGATCAACTTTAGATAAACAAATTTAATTGGTAATTGAAACGAATAAACTTGAATTGAAAAAAGAGCCTGATTATTGTTAGATTGATAGTATTAAAGGGTAAAAGTAGTCCATATTTTCGGACTATCAATATGGATAGTTAATTTAAAAAATCAATAAAACCACAGAGACATAATATTCAAAGAAAATACTCATGCGAATCAGGTGTGTAGGAGAATGGAAGTATGGGTGAAAAATGTTTAGCCTAAGTTAGTCATGTTACTCATTTTGCTTTATTTTAGAAATAAAATCGTAATATTTCAGATATCTTTTATTTAATCTATTTATTGACAATAAATAATATCAATTTTAATTGATAGGAAATTTTAAATGCTAAATAAATGTGTTCTTAGATTTTTTTTCAAATAATCCATATGTTTGTAGTAAAAAAAATAAAATATCTGCCATTTTGAAATTTTAAAAAGGGCCAAAGTAATTTTTGCATAGGTCTTTTCTACCTCAAAACGTATTCGTTACCAAGTTTCATAAGGATTGGATTAGAATAGTTCCAAAATAAAAATGTTTAAATGCAAAACAACAAAATTGTGAATATCTGGTTAACAAAGCAATCTTATTAATTTTTTCTTGCTTAATTTTCTCTTTATTGTTGATTTGGTTTCTCTTGGGTTTCTTTTACTTATGGGACACCCTGTACAACAGATTTTAATAAACAGACCTGGGGCCACGAAGTAGACAGGGTCTCTGCTAGGTGAGCTGACTCCGATGGATTGTGTGATGCCGTTGTACTGCATAGGGATGACAGAATGCTGTGTGTCTTCAGCAGTCCAACGTTCATTGTTGCGGGCAAACATACTCTCCACCAGCACTGCAGCAACATATGACAGGTCAGGGGATTACTCTTGGATTAGTAATCCACTTAAACTCTCTAACTACCCACCATAACTTTCATGCAGCCATTGATTAATCAATTCTCATCTTACGGAGGTCTCTTTGATTAAAAAATTATGATATTTATTTTTACACGTGTAAAACCATGTTCGTTTTGGCAAAGAAATAAAATAGTAGTTTGGTTAAACATATACCGAAACATACGATTGAACAGTTTTACCTTTTGAGTATCCCGGAGCAGATCTGCAAACGGAGGAATGTCCGTAGCAGAAGCAAGGCGTACATCCGAACTCATTGTTCTCATCCATGTTGAAGAAACCTGGCTTGCATCTAAAAAAAATATACTTATAGTTTAGATATTGATTAATGTCGTATCACGTTCACACAAAATTATAACCAAAACTTAAGCTATTTTGAGATATTCTAACATGATTGAAACTCCTTTTTCCTGTGTTTTGAACATACGTTTCATTTTCTTTTGGTAATTTAAAATTTTTAAGTTTGATTTGTATGAATTCCTTAGTGAGTGGAAATATCGTTTTATTTCTCACAAGCACTAAAATGCCAATGTGTATGTGTGTTTGGAGTAAGATTCTGCAAAGTAGATAACGTAATAGCTACTGTATTTACATTACAAGTGTAGTAAGGGCGTTTTTACATCACGCAGGTGAATGTTGTGCAACGAGCGAAGGCGAGTTGCATAATTCACCGAAGTGATGTAAACACGCTCTTGCGTAACGTGTAACGTACAAGATTTTACCTGACCCGACAATATTCAGGAGGTTACATTATCAATTTCACTAATCTTCTAACAGTAACGTTCATTTACAAACAAAAGCTAGATTAGGAGAATTCTTCAAAGCATAACAATAAAATTCAAACACACAGCTGATTTCTAGCGTTGAACGTCGTTGGCTCCATAGAGGTATATTTTTTAAGTTATCCACTCAATGTTATTTAAATGGGTTTCATTACATCACCGAGTGAGTTTTTTTCAACTTTACATCACTCGAGAAGTAAGGAAGTTGTATACATCACGCTTGGGATAGGGAAGTTTAACATGGCGGGTTAGGTAAAATATCTGAAAAAAATGGAAAGCCCAAAACACTGCCGTTTACACATTTTTATCTCCCAAACACAATCCGTTAGTTCAAACGCTAGTCTGGACCTTATTTATTTTGTTCAACGTGACAACTACGTAGTTTTCTAAGTGTCTAAGATTATTTTAGATATATATATAATGAGGGCCAAGGTTCGTATTTTAGGACGAAGGTGAGTGAAGAATGAATTTTAAATGGATGAAATAACTGTTTCCTGACCACGATCAGCTGGTTCTATACCAAGGACTATTTATGAAAAGCCCAGAGCAAGCATCTGGACAGTTTGAAGACAGCTTAAGCACTTCTCTGATTACACCTGAGACTTTGCACTCACTCAACACCAATTAAAAACGTCGTAGTCTACAGGACTACAGGTGACGTACTCACCCAGTACACCGCTGGCCCTCCACATGTTCCTTGCACTGACAGACACCTGACACCGTGTCGCAGCGCGGCTGGTTGAGGTAGCTGCCAGGAGCGTAGCAGTCGCAGGGTTTGCATCCCCAGGGGCCGAAGTCGTAGTAGTTGTCGTCGCAGCGATCACACTTGTCCCCGGTGACTCCTGGCTTGCACTGGCATCTGCCCTCGCTGTTACACTGGAGGCTGCGCGATCCTGGAAAAGGAGGAGGAGTCTTAAGTAAAAGTTCGCAGAATGTTTAAAGAGACATTCAAGAGTGTAAGCGGAACCCATTTACTTTGGCATCATGTCCTTTGTAGACATGGACGTCTACAAAGGACATGATGCCAAAGTAAATGGGTTCCGAAAGAATAGGTTTATTGAAAGAAACAGACAGCTTTTTCTACGGAACAGTTTGTTTAAGTGAACGATCACTTAGCATAATTTTATTGTACAGTTTGATGTATCACATGGACGGACTTCACTACTCATCTGTGGCTGGGATCTTCACTTACCGACTTATACTAATGACTTCTTATATACTGCGAGTCCCATGCCTCACTTTAAATTTAAGTTTCCTAAAGGTTTCACTCGCTTAGCTTAGTCAAGATCTACTCAACCCTGAGTAGCTAAGGTAGCTGTTCAACTCTGTTCACACCTCTGGCCGACTAAGTGTAATGTGAACAGAAAGTCTGCGTAGATGAGCACCGTGGGTACGGGGTTAATCCCCTTTCTTACAATACTTATATCCGACTTGCTTCTTCTTACTGAACAGTTTTTAGAAACATCGCAAAATTAAGCATTGATACTTGCAACTGTGTTTTTAACTCATAAAGTGGGACCTCAATAATAAGACCCTCGATAATAAATATCATTTTCTAATACCCTTTGTTTCATCCGGCCCCTAATTATATGTTATTGCAAACCTTAATAAGAAGTCAACTTTTATAACGTTGATAACAAGGTTTATTTGATCATCCCAAATGAGAGATTTGTTATAGTGATTCTACGCAATAATAATATATTTATTTGTACAGTATTTTACACGTTTGCATAATTACCCGTTTTGAGCTAAATTTATCCGGCATAGGTCCCCTAAAGTTCAGTTAAGAGAGGGGGTTTCGTCGTCGAGATGTCCCAGTCCAGTGAGCTGAAACCCTACTGGACTGAGGCTGTTTAGTACTATGTCCTTTTCTGGGGTAGTGTACCCCACATTTTCTCTAAATAGACTCTGATGTGCCTTGACAACCAGTGCTGGAATCGTAACTTACCGACTTCATTGCAGTTGCAGGCGATACATGCTGTATCTTCTCTCTGGTAGAAGTTGTCCCTGCATCTCTCACAGTTAGGGCCATCCCTGTTGCCAGAACAGTCCAGGCAGTGGCCGCCGTGGCCCGTGAGCTCGTACAGGTCCTTGTCGAAGTAGCAACGGTTGGAGAACCCGTTACAGTTGCAGGCTGAAACCAAATAACGCCTTTAATACCCATACAAGGAACCTAATATGCAGTTAAATAAAGTGCAATTTACTATTAAGTAAATTGAACCGTGTTATTTTCATAAAGTGTTTTAAATTATTTGCAAATAGTGCTACTCGTGGTTGGACAGCCTATTAACATTAAAGCTGAAGTTTTCTTATAAACAATTAAAAACAACACAGATCCATAGACTAACCAACTATTTTATCGTTTTATCTATGACAGAACTAAGGCTTTACTTAACACAAAACACTATTAAAAAAAAAACTTTTCGTATCCATTAAAAAATATATATACCCATTTCGTCTCCGTAATTCATGATTACCATTTTGGTACGTCATCAACATATGTATTTTATTCAGTAATTAAATGTTCAACCGTTCAACTTACGTTCTATCGCAGAATGATAAACAATGACAAACATTTCACACCATCGTATAACTACTGTCATTACTATGAGATTTTTCTTAGCGTATTTGTTGACAAGCTTATGGGAGAAAGTATGCGTCAGAATGCTGATACCGTTTATTTTAAATTAACTATAGATCTTCAGTTGGATTTCTTTAATCTGAAATATTGCTTACTTCAGGATTACAGTTTACTTAAAAACGCAAATGAGCAATAATCTTCCCAATTAGGAATATTTAATTATTTATGTAATTTGAGAACCAGTTAGTCAGGCATAACTTAGACAGCATACCCCAGCAACACAAAACATGGAGCTACAAAGAAAATAACTGTCAATTACAGAAATCACAGTCGGGTAATGGCTCCAGAAAACAGTTCCAAGGACCAAGAATGACAAAATGACCATCATAACTGGCAGCCACCTGCGATGCAGCTATTTCCATTCCACAAGGCCGCAGTAACAGCTCTGTTATTGAAACTCCAGCTTTTTACTCAGCTTTGTTTGGAGATATCACATTTATTGTAACCACACTTGTCCAAACCATTTATAGAGGTTGTCAAGTATCGATATGTAGAGACTGATTAAGGTGTTATTCAAACTGTACATCGAGACATTGGAAAATTATCGGCTAAACCTTGCAGAATATTTTGTGTCAGAATGAACTGACAAACATACTTTGCATTCCATTTTAAATCGTATCATCTAAAACGCTGGTCGGAATTTACGGTTGTTCTATAGAGTGGTACAGTCTTTCAATACCGATAGTTTACTTTGAGAACGTTGAAACAAGGAGCGAAAATGAAATTTAATTGTCAATGGTGGTCGCTGACATTTTGCTACATTTCACGAACTAAAAACACTCGTCTGTGTTCTCACTCCGTTACGACACACGTGCTACAAGTACCTAATAAAAAGACGAAAGAAAAGAAGAACGGTCCTAGACCATCACCTTGTGGTACTCCAAATTCAGCCGTTTATCAACTCATTTACTCCGGTCTGGACTAGAGAGAGAGGCACAAGGAGAGTGAGAGAAGAGCGCAGTCAAGGTCTAATGATGCTCTCATGTTTTGTAATTACAGACCTGGTACCGCCTCCAGCATCAATTGTTGTTAACATCCATAACCAAGGATCAGTTGAGCCAGGCTGCTCGTTATAGAGATGGGATTTGAAAAACAACTTAAGCAGAACCCAGAGTTGACTGCTTTTATGAGGTTTCGCCATTCCGATACGTCTGAAAGGTAGTTGATGTTGATTATTGGCATTACTGCATAAACGGGGCAGTTTGAATAATTTCAAGATTATCGTGGTCGCTGTTGTTTTGGAACGTGTTTTATATGTGGTGTATTTAATAACAGTAGTCTCACGCAGCTAAAAGCACTCTGTTTGGAATATTTCAAAATCCTTTTTTGTAGATACGCCGGTGAGTGAACCTGTTCCTCTCACACCAAACTATGAGTCGCAAACCACTATAGTCTGTATGATGAAACTAGTCTCCTGACTTTCCATCTACCTGGGGCCTAGGCAATAGTTTACTAGACGGCCAGGAGATAGGTTCCATCATCCAGACTATAACACAAACAAACATCTACAAACCCTCAACAAATCTTTCATAAACTTCAGTTCAAAGTTACCCCATCAACTAGAAAAGTATCGCAACAAAGTTAGTTCCATAACCAAATGAATTATCTTTTCAATTAAATAATTTCTCAATTCAACCAATCTAATCACTGTTGAAACAGATTGGTTCTTTGTTGAATCTAATTAACTCTCGGTTCAACCAAATTAGTTTCGTATTTCATATTCGTTCTCAACTCAGGCGGAATTCTATCGTAGATTAAAAGTTGTATAATTATCTCGATCAGACGCAATATACATACAGTAATTTCATTACATTTCGTTAGTTTTGTTTACTATGCTATAGATAGATACTTCTAGATACTTATTTCTAGCTTATAATGTATCCCTAGAATATGGCTGATAAGACAAATTAAATACAAGTTTTAAAACATCATACAATACCAGAGAATATACTTACTTTTATGTTACGACAGAAACTATTCTGTCGTAACATACAACTATGTGTAAACAAAAATAATTTAATTCAACTTAAGAGGAGACATATAGAACCACAATCAATTAGTGCAATACACACTTATGGAAATTCTTGTATTTCAGGTGTCTTTATTTATTAAGTTTATGGAATAGCCCCAAGTTCTTGTCTTTGTTATAACAAACGATGAACTTTTGAAGGAGTCATTAATTGACGAAACTATAAATGGCATCTGAGTCAGGAAATATCTCTGAACTGTTTTAGGCAACGTCAAAAATTTACAAATCATCTTGCAACAAACCTAAAGTCTAAATATAAAGTAAATAAACGAAAAGACAGAGTAACGCACCTGCTAAGTGTATTATAAAAGGACGTTCGCCTGTTAAAGTTGTTTGCCGGGCGGGTTAGATAACAGGTCTGCAAATTGCTACGAAATTACAAGCTACATGATCGTTCTGCTGCTGCACCGGCTGTAATGATATTACTGGGATATTGTGCTTGGTTTTTGCTTGTTTTACCTGTTTGTGAGTTCTTTCAGGCGGAAAATGTTTGTACTAAAAATGTACCAGCAGTACTTTTTTAGAGGTCTTTCCAGCTCAAGTGGTCTACAATTATTTTTTTTTCGTTATTGTCAAACATAACACGAAGTGCTGTCATGGTATTTATTAGTATTATCGTAATGAACTGTACACGTTATAATAGAAATCAAATGCTTTATTCATTATTCATTAATTATTCGTGCATTTTACGATCATATTTTTAATATAATAAAGATAATAATAATTGAGTAACCAACATCTAAATTAGGTCGTAAGAGAATAATTTTTGCTAAACCATTTATTAAACTACTCTCATGTTAGCGGCGTATTTTATATACACATTTCCAGCTAAATATGAATGTGGATTATGTAAAGACTGGAGTTACATAGTAAGAAAATCCAAATTTGATCAAAATACCTTTAAAAACAATCAAACTACAACATATTATTTTTCTCTATAAAATAGCATGGTAATTTAAAATTACAGTTTTTGGAAATTTTCTCTGTAGTAATTAGGCGTACAACAACACTTCATAACGCTTATTGTTGTTTTTATTATCTCTAAATAGATTTTTCTAAAAAATTTGGACAATTTTAAGTTTTAGGGATAAAAAATGGACAAACCAAATTTTTTTCCAACAAAACCCCGTTTCTAAAGTCTAATAATGATGGTTCACAATCTCGTTCGAATAAACGTAGGTTTACACGTTTGAATATCATCAAAATCATATGTTAAACAATTATAGTAAATATAGTAACAAAATCATACATCGGTCCCAGGCCTAGGTCTCGCCATGATATGTACAATAGGTGCATCCTTATAGGACAATTCTGGTTGGAAAAATACTGATTATTTTTTTGCTTATTTTATACGATAATTCAAATGAAAAGCATGTAAATCTAACACTGACTTTTTATTTGTGGCGACCGCACTTTGTGAAGGTCACACTTTGTATGCAAACCTCGATATTAGCATTCGTTAAATGCAAGTGCATTGTGCAGTGCGACCACGATGCAAGTAGCAATCTATAGTGGTCTGTGGTTGCAGCTGCAATAATTTGTTAAAGACATTAAACACGGTTATTTATTTCTATGTTTCTATTTAACAAGGTACTTTAGAATAATAGTGTTATTTACACTAGTAAAATTTAAAATACGAGTAAACAACTGGAGGAGGGAAATACGTGTTGAGGAGGGAATGTAAAGTAGATGTAATATTAGTGGAAACTGTTTGGTTTAATGGTAACTTGTGGGATAAAAGTGTTGATATGCATATCCATAAAAGGTCACAAGTTCACCTTGTTGCTAGATTATAGTATGTATGATGGAACCTGTCTCCAGGCCCTCTGTCTACAACCATGGGCATCCCCTAGGCTGTACCTCGGGACTGGATTTTACAGGTAGGATCAGGAGACTTGTTCCTGTATACATACTATAGTGATAGTGTTTACTGTATACTATACTATAGTGTATACATATTATCGGCTCAGATTTTGGATTCAATGGCGAAGGTTCAATTCTTAGCATATCCGTTTTTGACAGCTCTTTGAGTTTCCTTTATTTAAAATAACATTGACGTAGACAATGACAAGATTTGGTTGTATTTACAATTTTGGCGGAGTATTCTTTACACAAAAAAATAACCCTTCGTCTATGTTTTTCATAGTTTTTAATTTTTTTCCGAAATTTGTTCATTGACTTGCTTTTGATACAGTTGTCCTGTTTAGTTTTCTACCTGCTAAATACTTTTTTTACAATTAGTGGATGCGCGTTTAAAGTAAAATCCCCCCCCATTTAAAACTCACTGTTAATATATACACCGTAACATTATACTATTGACTATTGGATACTGAAGTAGAAATCCCATCTATATGGACCAGCTTTCATCAATTTTTTTTATTAAAAGTGGATGTAGTTGTGTGAGGCAAACACAGAATGCGCTAGTGTCTAAAATTCTATTTTATACCTAATTTTTTTTTTGCTG